GATCTTAGGAAGTGGTTGTATACATCCGACAGTTTAGATATTTCTGAACGGGTTTTGGTGCCATCTTATCCATAGGAAAGCCTCGATCTGACGAGGCTATTTAAGACCATGACTCAAGTTTTCAAATTGATGTTTTTGTTTTTTATCTATTTGCGTTGTTAAGTGAAGATACCTCTGGCACATCCTATTGTATTTCTCTGATACTTAATTTGTTATAGCTGATCCATATGCTGAGGTATCTGTTTACAGAACATAAGACTAAAATGTTTCTCTATAAGAAAGCTATTAGGGATGTTGTTTTTGTTATTTGGTACAGTTCTTTGTGATTATGTAGCGCCAATCAACAATATCCAAAGAATGATGATCCTTGCCATAAGCCTCAGATTAACGCCCCTTTTTATCATTGATCTTAGGAAGTGGTTGTATACATCCGACACTTGATTTTTCTGAACGGGTTTTGGTGCCATAGGAAAGCCTCAATCTGACGAGGCTATTTAAGAACATGACTCAAGTTTTCAAATTGATGTTTTGTTTTTTTTTGCTATTTGGGTGAAGATACCTCTGGCACATCCTATTGTATTTCTCCGATCCATATGCTGAGGTATCTGTTTACAGAACATGAGACTAAAATGTTTCAATTGTAATTTTTTGTGATGTCAACGAATATTGTTGCAACTTTTATAATGTCAACGAATGGTCGTTGTCACTTTCGTAATGCTCGTTGTAGTAGAGACTTTATAATCTCAGATACAAACTATAGTAACGCCGTTGAACAATACTGGTGTCAGACGCCTTTGAATATCACTCGCACTAATAGTACTTGCTCGATAATACTCGATCGAATAGTAACCACCTGATAGTGATCTGAATAGTAATCCTTATAATGATCCGAATAGTAATCCATATAGCCTCATCTGGGGATCCTCTCTGTCCCCGAACAGAGAGTTTGAGCAGCACACTTCCGGAGAGTGAGATATTCACTAACCGCCCCACGCGGTCCGATACGGCACAAGGCCAGATTTATTGTGGGGTATCCGTTTTCGTAGGCTCGGATAAAAAATTCCCCGTAGACCCCGTAAAAACGGGGTGGGATGGCTTTCTACCAACCCAGACGAGACTCTACCCTTTCGGCACATTCTCGTCTAGGTTCCTCTCTGTCCAGAAGGAGAGTGTTCGACAAGTAATTCGCAGAGTGCTCACTTATCTAATTCCCATATATACATTTATTTTTAACATCACATAATCTACTTATTCAAAATGGGATCGACTGTTTTTGCCCTTTGGTGATCTGTGTTCAAACTCCAGTGTCGTTAGTGACAATTTATTTGTATATAACATAATTACCACTAGCTGATTGGTTAACGAATGTCAATTGTTTCCCTCTAAGAAAGCTATTAGCGATGTTGTTTTCGTTATTTGGTACAGTTCTTTGCGATTCACAAGATTCTAGGTCTGGTCTTTAACAAGACCCAAAGGTTTCATTCGCTAAAAGCCATTTTAAACCATTGATCTGCTAAGACTCTCAGTTTTAGCTCGTTCAAAGACTTTTCGCCAGGAAGCGGTTGTATACAGCTGAGTTTTTTTTAGGTATTTTCGGCTGATTTGCATCCATGCATGGCATCTATATGAAAGTCTTTACCAGACTCCTTGTTAGCATTATATATCTGTCTATATTAATGCAAACAACACGTATATTGGTTACACAATCACTACATTATCGCACCGATTAACTAATTGGATGATGAATTTATAAAACCGCACATCAGAACCAACACAGTAAAGAAACAGACTGTATCCATCAAATCCTTATCAGTAACATCTTTGTTATTCAATCGCTACATTATCGTGCCGATTAACTCCATTTATCCGATAACATGTCAAGTAATTTGCATATCACAAACAAAACAATTAAAAAAACAAATAATCCAGAAATCCTTATCAATAGCACAAAGCATATACAGGGTGTCCATAAAGTTCGTGTACACTTTAAAAAAATTATAACTTTATTTGTATTTGCGATAGAAATAATGTGTAAAAAATGTTATAAAGTACCTAGTTTTAAGTATAGCTAAAATAACTAATGTGATTTCAGGCATTACTGTAAATCAGTTGGCAAATGTTTTCCGTGAACTGCAAAATCGTATTACCCTTTGTATTGCAAATGATGGAGGACATGTGGAAACTTAAATAAAATTTCAATAAAACCTTAAAAAATATAGATTTACTTCTTTACTTACAAATTATTTCTATCGCAAATACAAATAAAGTTATACATTTTTTATCGTGCACATGAACTCTATGGACACCCTGTATAACTGTGAAAAACGCGTACAAATATTAAAAGCATTAACCATAAAGCACAAGGTACTTCAAATCAATACAATTTAATCAAAGTTATGAACAAACATGCTTAGTATATTTAATAAGTAAATTTAAAAAAAAAAAGACAAACTGATACGTAAAAACAAATCGATAAGATTAGAGCGTGTTTTATGGTAGGGGAGGTAACGTTCTAAGCGAGACGACCAATCGGATATGAATAATTCAATGATGGCAATACTGAGACATATAGAATTTATTAAGGTGAACCTCATTTGAAACGCAAGTTGCTGATCAGGAATTTCATTTGTTCTGGGCTTTACTGCTATGTTTATGAGCATATTAAACTGACCAACTTACGACTGCACATCAAGTCGATCTCGTTGCGAGAGGGGAAATGGGTTGTGGGGAGCTGTATCGACTTTTAAAGCACGTATCACTGCACAGAGGGGGGCGTCCTCACCGGAATCAGCCCAGTTGAACAGAGAGGTATTTGAAGGGAAAACAGCCTAATGTTCTTGAGGATATTTCGATTAGGCAATCACTCCACTCCAGACCACAGCCCCAAGTCCGCGATTTGGCTGCTTCTGGATGTTTTTAAAATCTAATAGCCAAAAGCCCTTCCCCTAAAGAGATAAGTAAATTCGGTTTCAGCCTCATCCTCCCACGCAACAATACATAAATATAAATATATATATTTTCTTTCATGTGTCAAGTCTCTTCAGGATGCAGGCGAACATGACTCTCCACAATTTCCTTTACACTTCTGCCTCATTTTTCTACCATGCATTCACACAAACTCGTTGAGTAGGTTCTTATTTTATGTGCCGTGTCCGTTCAGGAAGTAGGCGATCATGGCCCACCACATCTTCCTGTCCCTTCTAGCTCTTAATAATTATTTTTTTTCTTTTTGTTATTTCTCCCAAACCCTGTTCTGTCATCCATTTTCTCAAGCCCATCAAGTATATTACGCGCTGTTTTCCTCTGTCTCTCGTTCCCTCAATCTGTCCTGTGAGGATCAGATTTTCCAAGCCCTCTTTCCTCATTACGTGCTCCAGAAAATCCAACTACCTCTTTCTTATGTTAAGTATCTTCTTCTTTTATGTATCGTGTCCCTTTAGGACGTAGGCGATCATGGCCCTCCACATTTTCCTGTTCCTTCTAGCGCTTAATTTGTATTTCCCCCAAACCCTGTGCTGCCATCCATTTGCTCCAGTTCATCAAGTATGTTACGCGCTGGTCCTCTCTTACCTTAAACTTCCTGTGAGTATCAGTTTCTCCAAACCCTCTTTCTTCATTACTGTTGTAGAGTAGCTAGAACCCCTTCAGCACTCTACCAGATGGTCTGGCTCATAGCCTTAAATAGTCTACGATTAAGGACTTCAACAGTTTATAAATAAGTTGATACTAAGCTGATTAATATTTGGACTGATCTTACTTCGTTTGGCTATACAGCATTTGACCCTCGTCTATTCCTTGTAAGTTGTCTTGTTAATTGTTTTGCAACTTATTGTTCTTTGTTTTTTGTATGTATCCGTTAGCACTGGATGCTGGTGCTGAGGGAATATATTAAGCACTCATTCTTCTCTCTCTGTCATTCACCTCGACGATACAACATAGAGGTTGATATGCCGCTGAACAAAATCAACTAATGAAACAAGTTGCCAATAAGACGCAGGGGGTTACTTTGAAAGAAATATACGAAAAACATTATTAAGAAGAGAGAACAGTAAAAAAACAGAAAGTAAGAAGACATAAGATGACGATTAACATTACATTTAATTTATTAATATTAAACTTCCCTGGGAAGCAAGAAGCCGGGAGAAGGGTTAATAAGCAGGACGGACTTCAACAATTGATTAATAAGTTGATACTAAGCTGATTAATATTCGGACTGATCGTTTTTGCTATACAGCATTTGACCCTCATCTATTCCTTGTAAGTTGTCTTGTTAATTGTTTTGTAACTTATTGTTCTCTGTTAGCACCGGATACTGGTGCTGAATAAATATATTAACGCTCATTTTTCTCTGTGTATCATTCACCTCGACTATACAACCATTACGTGCCCCAGAAATTTGAACTGAGATCTTCTTGGTGTTAAGTAGAAGTTTCCCCTTTGTTGTCATTCTCTCCAAACTCTCGTTTTTGCTCCCATGGTATCCTCAGCATCTTTTTGTAGGCCCACTTTTCTGTTGCTTCATGTCCCTTCCTCATCATTCACTGCCATACACGAGGACAGATATCAAGTAACAGTTCAGTACACTTTTTCTTTGTTTCCAACGGAATGTTTCTCTTTCTTAATACTCTGCTCAGCTTTTGGAATGCATCTTTCCTCTACCCCTAAAAACGTCTTCGGGCCTCAGGGTCGCACATTTCCTCCCCTGTCAGAACACTTCACAGATATTTGAATGTCTGTACCTGCTTGATTTTAGCATCCCCGATATGCTTCTTCCACACTTCTCTTATCTTCACTTTTTAAGTAATGGGTGTTAGATTCTCTAAGCCTTCTCTCCTCATTGTGGATGCTAAAATTTCCGACTGTGCTCTTATGAGTGTAAGTATGAATCTCTCTGTTATTCCCTCAGTCTTCCTCATGGCGTATATGTTCCGCCCGTTGCATTCACAACATTCGCTGGTAGAATCATATCTCTGTCGCTTCACGCCTCTTCTTCATCTGGCTTACGGCCGTATCACGTTGGAGCACCGGTTCTCGCACGATCACCTAAGTTAAGCAACGTCGACCCTGGCCAGTACGCAGATGGGTGACCACTTGGGAATACCATGTGCCGCAAGCATGGATGTGCGGTGGTTTAATGAATAACGACTCGGAATTGAAAATCGAAGTGCTGAGTTAGAATTCCAATCGGGTTCGTTATATTCACTTACACGCAAATACCATTGAGAAAGGTACGAACCCACCTCTTTCTCCCTCCAACTAAGGGTTAATTAGTAGGATTTGTATTTGTAAATCATGACTGTCTCAAAAAAATTCTTGCAATCTTAAATTATTTTTCGTATTTAAGTAACCAGCAAAAAGGTTGATAGACCGTAAAAAACTGATCAATCAATCGAATAGTGATTAGATACATACATATGTCTTTTAGATTTATTTGAATTCTGTGGGATATAAATGTAGAGAAACTACCATGGCCACAAAATGAGGGATCAGTTTCTATAATTACTTTGATACAGAATTGGTCCCCCACTTTGTACGCTCCGGACTTCTTCAGGTGGTTGGAATGTCGAACTGAACCTTTATTTCGCTCACTGGGGTAGACTGTTCTAGTTCCATGTTTGATGGATGTCAGTTATCTCCTGTTAATCTCCCTCTGAAAGTTCTCCACTGCCTTAACTGGGTATTGAACTATTGTTCATTAAGTGGCCAGTCTTCTCCCTCTCTCTCTCTCTCTCTCTCTCTCTCTATCTATCTATCTATCTATCTATCTCTCTATATATATATATAGATATAATTTAAAGAAAAAGAAAAAAGAGATTACTTTAAGGTGCCATTGTAATAATTCTTACAATGGAACATTAAAATGATCTGTTTTTTTGGTTTTTTAAAATTAAATCATTCTTTGTCTGACTTACTTTCATCCTCCTTGGATTATCCGTACGGATTACCAAGACTTTCATTACGCATTAGTCAGATTAAAAATAAATACGCTATTACTTTAGAAATATATATATATATATATATATATATATATATATATATATATATATATGATTAAAATATAGTGTTAAACCATGCTATATTTATGTATAAAAATACTCAATATCAGAGACAGAGCCCATGTAAATATAAAAATTACGACAGTCTATTTCATGTTTGAACGCATTTTCAACCCAGCAACTACATATATATATATATATATATATATATATATATATATATATATATATATATACACACACATATATATATATATGTGTGTGTGTGTGTGTGTGTGTGTGTGTGTGTGTGTGTGTGTGTGTGTATTAAATGGCCTCTCTTATGTTTCAGACTTCTTCAGACTCTGGTATGTAGATATAGACGAGGGAAGAACAGACACGGGTTACAATTTTATTGTTATTACATTTCTCGGCTCCCATATTGTTATGGGATCTTACCCATAATAATAATAATGGACTATTCCATACTTAATAAATACTGCGCTCAGGAGTAGGCTAGGAGTCAGGTGAGTCAGTAGTTCAAGTGGAATCAAGAGTCGAGTCAGAGGCAGTCGGAAACAGATTCGCGTTCAGACAATTACTGCAAGACATTGAAATAGTGATACTGGTCGAGACTACATTGTTCTCTCTACTAAACCTGATTGTTCGTACTAACACTTCTACTTCTCTGTATATATTCCTGTTTGTAATATATCTGTGTCCATACCCGTGTTCGAGTTCTTCTTTATTGGTTCTACCTTGGACTCTCACCGTGGTATAATGAACCGGACCATAGCATATATAAAAGACACCATTAATAAAAACATTATCCATCTAAAAAAAGTCTATTAGCCAGGTTCGTTATATTCACTCTCGCCTAAACACTCTAGGGGAAGGTATGAATCTATCTTCCCCTGCAGCTACAGGCTAAAAAAATAGGATTATTAAACTGTACCAGGAAAAGTCATTGTTATTGTCAAAGAATAATTAATGCGATATACATTAGGTATATACCTGGCATCTCGATTCCAGTCACTTTCTCACAGTCATGATGTGGCCTCCCTCTGTCTTTTCTACAAATATTTTCATGGCAATTGCTCTGACGAGCTACTTTCACTGGTTCCCAAACTGCATGAATTTAAGCGTGCTACTAGGTTGGCATTTCGGTCCCACCTTTTAACTGTTGAAACATTTAAGTATAACCGTCTCTTCTACTCCAACAGCTTCTTCTGTCGCACTTCCTGACAGTGGACCTCTCTACCTCTTATTTGCTTCCATGAGAGCTCTAGTTTTCAAATATTCAAATATAACATCAATCGACATCTTCCGATGCCTTGATCTTGATCCCTGTCCTTCTCTTTATCCTTTCCTCAAACACCCCCCTTTTATTTTCACTCTCTGTAATCCCTTGCGTGCTAGTGGTACTCCCGCCTTGGTTGGCGTGAAATGCTTAGAAAAAATCCCAAATATGTTTCGGTTTTAAATAACCCAAAAAGGGTTGGTAAACCGTGAAAAATACACATCAATCGATAAACCGTTATATTTTTCCCTTTTTTCATTCAACTGTCTATTATTAGTCTGATATATTGTCATGGGTCCTGACCTATAACTACAGAATGAACTCTTTCTAACACTATGTATACTACGCCTCTCAAGAGAGGGTCGAATCAAGCCGAGCTTCTCGGCTTGACGGTCGAACATCAGAGAGGAACACGGACGAGGCTCCTCCGAAGGGCAGAGTCTCGTTCGGGGAGAATGACCAACCTGATTTTGTTTTTTACAGTTTCTACGGGCATTTTTGGCCGAGCCTTCGGCTTTGTTCCACATGCAACCCTCGTGTGTGTGTGTGGGGGGGCTAGATATCGAGTCGAGCTTCTCGGCTTGAAACTCTCTGTGTCTGAGCAGAGGAACCCGGACTAGGCTCCACCGAAGGGCAGAGCCTCGTTCGGGGAGGTTGAACAACCCGATTCTGTTTTTAGTTTCTACGGGCATTTTATGGCCGAGCCTACGGGATCGGAAAACCCACGTAAAACTCGGCCTTGTGTCAAACCCTCGTGGGGTGGTGGCTAGATACCGAATCGAATCGAGCCGATAGTAGTTCACTCCAAAACCAGACTGACAGTCATACTAACACCTTCCACATCTTGTATTATTATTTCGTATATCTATTCGTGTATTCTTCCTTGGTCCTAACCTGGACCATAACATATATAAAAAAAGGGTCGATGCAGATAGATAAATTTTATGTTGTTGGGGTAATGATAAAATTAACTTTTATCCTGCTAATATTACATATTTCTTAATGCAAATAATTTAGCGAGTAATATTATTCGCATAGGTCGATTGTTATACAGTGATAATGTCAGATCAAAATTCACCCCCGAAATAAGCGTCAGGCGATGAACTTATTGACCCGCGTTTGTTTCATGAGAGCGTTACGAAAGCGGGAAAGCTGCCGCTCTCCGAGTGTATATCAACGTCATCAAAAACAAATTTCACGAGTTGTGTCCCCTTGGCAGATTTCCAGCTCGTTTCTCGCGGAATCAGAACGGAGTCGGGCGTTATCGGATCTTTCCCTTGTCTCTGTACATCATTATCCCAATGAATTCATGATTGGTATTTAATATGCTGACTTTTGTTTCGGTCCAAAACAACCGGACCGGGGGGGGATTGGGGTTCAGTGCTGGGGAGGGGCTCATGTGAGTCGAACTTTTTGCAGTAAAAATGGTCCAAGAATGTGAGCCATTGCACGGTGGTATGAGTGTTGCGTTTCGTCATATACACAGTCTCTCTTTCTCTGTATCTCTCTCTGTATCTCTCTCTCTCTCTCTCTCTCTCTCTCTCTCTCTCTCTCT